ACATTTTGTTCATAATTTTAATCAAAATAAATATTTTTTAATTAATATTTTATATTAAAATAGAGGATTCATATTACCTTCCGGCAAGTGGAAAGTCAACCGCAGTCCGACTAATCGGTGTCAAAAACGGAAGTCTATGCCAAGCCCATGATTGTAGCAGCAACAGACATCCACCGATTTCTACTGTATTATTATCATTCACGACTAATGACGCCTTGCACATCTCACGATACAAGAACGCCAATATCGCCGAACCCCAGCTATATTGCCTACAATTCTCAAAATTTGTTAAAAAAAGAAGATACTGAGTGTGAACATAACTACCGATTTATCAGGCATCAAAATTCCCCCAATCAATTGTAATATATATGCTCGTGTTGCATATATAATTTCGTGCTCCGTACTATTTGATTGAAGTTGAAATTCATTCTTCAACCATGACAACCTCACCCGCCACCCTTTACACTCTGGTGGTACGGGCGCTTTCCCAAGAAACAAGTTGCAAAGTTGTTCCACCTTATTAAACTCATGTGACATTACCACCGGCATCCCATTAGTTTGGACCCCGAGTTGCATTGCCACATCCTCCAAAGTTATCGTGCATTCGCCACACGGCAAATGAAACGTGTGCGTTTCTGGTCTCCAACGTTCAATCAACGCACTGATCAAACCTGGGACCAACTTGTAATCTCGCACAAATGTTATATACCAAAATCCAGCCTCTTGCAAATTTTCTTCTATTAGTGGGTGTGGCTTGGGCACTTTATGTAGTCGAAGACGAAGGACTCGCTGCTCGTCCTCCTACAATTAAATATTTCAAAAAAATTATCACAATCATAAATAATATTCAAATATTTATTAATTATAATTCATTAAACAAATATTTTATTCACCATTATTCCCAAATGACTTGAAATATGTTCATTGTCAAGCCTCAACAGTGGAATTTGGTCAGCCATTAGAATGAATCTGTAAAAAAAATTAAACAACAATAATTAAAAATCATTTAATATAATCTAATATAAACTAACTAACTAATTTACAACACTAAACTTTAATATAACTTATAATATAATAAACTAATAAACTAACAAACTAAACTTTTTAAAATATAAGTTAAACGTAAACGCTAAACCCTTAAACAACTAATAAAATATTCTTTTATATAACTAAAACTAACTAATAAACTATTTTTTCATTATAATATACTACTAATAAACTTACTAACTAATTTTTTATATAATATAAATTCAACAAACAAATATAACTTAACTATTTAACTAACACAAACTAATTAAATAATTTTTTTATATAACTAACTATTAACAATACAAACTAATTAATTATTTTTTAACTATATAACTATCAAACATATACTAATTAAATAATTTTTAATTTATGTATACTATAACTTAAACTAACAATCATATAACCCTAAACTAACAAACTAATTAACTGCTTTTTGTTTAACCCTAAACCCTAAACTAACAAATTAAACATTTATAATAATAAACTAATTTAAATATAAAAAAATTTACCTTATCTCCCTTTCTTCTTCTTACTTTCCTTTCTCCCTTTCTTTCTTTCCTTTCTCCCTTTCTTTCTTTCTTTCTCGGCTGCAATCTCTTCTCCCTTTCTTCTGCAATCTCTTCTCCCTTTCTTTCTTTCTTTTATAACCGGCTGCCTCAATTATTTCACCAATTGTACAATTGCAGCTATGATATCATCAGCTGATTTCACGCGTTCAATTATTGTACCAATAATCAAATGGTTCACATGCCTCAAATGGTTCACATGCATGCATTGGGAGGTGTAGGCATGCAGCGGGGAGCACGTGAAGGAATCTATGTGGCTGTGCATGTGCATGGATGATGGGAATGGCGCCGGGACTACATGGCGACCTACAAGGTCGCCGGGACTACATGGCGACCTACAAGGTCGCCGGGACTACATGGCGACCTACAAGGTCGCCTAGGCTGCATGGCGACCTCTCTATTCTTGCATGCTCCCATTGGCTCGAATGGCTCGTATATGGCTCGTTGCATGCTCCCCATTGGCTCTCTATTCCTGCATGCTCCCCATTGGCTCGTATATGGCTCGTTGCATGCTCCCCATGGCTCGTATATGGCTCGTTGCATGCTCCCCATTGGCTCTCTATTCCTACATGCTCCCCATTGGCTCGTATGGCTCGTTGCATGCTCCCCATTGGCTCGTATGACTCGTATATGGCTCGTATGTCACCCTCGTATGTCACCCCGTATGTCGCCTGGATTGCATGGCGTCCTCCAAGGTCGCCTGGATTGCATGGCGTCCTATGGTATCACTGTTGAATTCACCCCATTCCAACAATTAATCTAGGATGTGCACCATATCGTGAAAAAAAAATTCAAGAACATTATCTCGTGAATTCACCCAATTTAAAATGAGTCATAGTTTGGTGACATATAATACACTTAACTCAAATTATGAATATTTAATGAGATCATGACATGCATGAATTATTTGACCTCAGTATTTAGGAGATTTATTGAGGTTTTAGATTCGAACATCGTGTACGTAAAGATATGAACATTTATCATCAAAGACTTAATTTTTTAAATAAATATTATATTGTATTCACTCTAATTTATCGAAATAATAAATAAGATTGTGCATGTAATACGTTTTTATTACTATATTTTTATAAATTCTCCTATTAGTAGCTGCTTATTATCTGAAATATAATGATTTTCTAATTGGACAGACTTAACCCAATATAATATTTAATATCTTTTTTAATAAAAATATTATTTTTAAAATAATTATAAAGCATAATAATAATTTTGGGTATTTTGTTAAATAATGAGAGAAACGACCAATTGATGCCTGAGTGTAATAAAAGCAGACAAAACAGAACGCAACCCAAAGGAAGGTCAGAGCTTTAAATAAAAAACATAAGGACTACAAGGCCAATAAATTATTACTTAATATAAATTTAATTATTATTTATCATGATTCGTAAAATATGTATATCCTATATATATTTATATGATAATAATTATATTAATTTTATAATTTCGATATTAAATTGTAAATTTATCGATTTTAAAAATCAAAATATAATTTATACTTTTAAAGCGGCTATAGTATAATCTTAAAATATAAGTTTCGATATCCTTTATCTCACGTTTATTTTGTATGCCACGTGATCATTATTTATTCTTTAAAAAGATATACATGATAGAATGTGCAACCGTAGGATGGGCATCAGACTAAAACCGAACCGGTTTCGACCTAATTGGGTAGGATTTTTTAAAAAAATTAAGGTCGGGTCAGATTTTTTTAATGTGATGTTTAGGTTCGGGTTTAGGGTGAAAATACTCGATCCTAAAAAATATATAAAATTTAATTTATATATATATATATATATAATTATAATAATATCACTCTATAGATTATTTTTTCATTTAAGTCATTGTTTTTTATTGAATAAAAAAATGTTTTTTATTATTTCGGGTCAGGTCAGATTTTTAAGTTATATATGGAGTCGGGTTCAGGTCGAGTGGAATCTTGTTTTGGTAGGGTCGGGTCGGATCTCTGGAGAATTTCTTGTTATCGGGTTGGGTGGTGGACCAAAAACCCGACCCATGTTCATCCCTAACCGTAGCTGCTTCTTAAATTACAATGGTTCATATTTCTTTTCTAATGTATGATTAATGTGCTCTACCGATATCATCGATTGAAACATCAGATAACGTCCTGAAATATAAGTTTCGATATTCATTTTCTCAGGTTTAGGATGATTACGGGATAATAAAAGCAGATGGTTGAGAGAAAACAAGATGGAAGCAGTAGAAGGGAACAAAAGAGAAAGAAGATGGGGTTGTGCAGACCTAAAAGTAGAGTCGATCATGGAGATGATCAGGGAAATGAGGGCTTCACTTCAACTGTTGTATGTTTGACCAAACTACATGTAACAAGAAGCAGCCAACAACATGTTTCCAAATGCGACCAAATCTGCCATAATTATTATATGCAAACACCACTGTTCCCTGTTCAAACCTTCTTGATTCATTGGGAGAAAGAGATTGCTACTATGGAGTTCCATACGTGGAATCATATACACCACAACCCCCTATTGTAAAAAGTTAATCTCCTACTTATCATATTCGAGTAATAATGATCTTGAAATGATCGTTGATGTTTGAGTAAGTATTTTTTAATGATATTTTAAAATTAATGATTTAGTAACTAAAGTTATCGGTTTATAGTAAATTATCCGCTCGTCATTAAGAGTAGTTAGTGGAGATGTCGGAATGTTGATGTGGTGCATTAAACCGACTGACCTGGAATCGGTTTTTCCACGTGAGACAACCTTCTATAGTGATCGGCCGTGAACGATTTTGTTTTCCACGTGAGATCCTCATTTTGCAACAATTAAAGCAGTGGTTGCCCTTTCCACCGACTCTAACTCAATCACTTCAAGCCTATTCGCCATTTGGGTACGGGAAACCACGGCAGAGTCTTCCTTTGTCGGCTTAAAGATGACGACGGCGACGCTTTCTCTTTGAAAGTAATAGACAAAGATTCATTGAACGGAAAGAAAGTTTCCACATTGAAACGGAGGGAAAAATCTTATCCATGTACGTATTGAAACTTCTCAACAAGGAAAAGAGAACTGCAGAAGCGAAAAACTCTTTGGACAGTGATTTGATCGAATCGTTCCTTGATCCGAGTCATGGTAAGATGGAAGAGATTTCGAAGGCGGTCAATATTTCGGTGATCGATTTGTTATAAATCGATAGCACTATTGATCGAATCATTACCATTGAAAGAAGAAAAACTTAAACAATCAATGACCACTTATGTAGTTTACCCTAATGTATTTGAAACAAAACTACAGAAAGTAGGTGGGTGGGTAAAAACACAGAATGGGGACACATGCACAACCTGAAACTCTAATAAAAACTCTTTAAAAGAAAGAGAGAGAAATAGAAGCATATGGTACAAAAAAATGCAGAGAAAAAAGAGGAAGGGTCATGTCACAGCAACACCAACATGCCCCAAAAATCTCTGATAAGTCTCAGTAATAATAAGCATAAAAAGAAAACAGCACCTTAGCCACAGCCACCCATCGCTAATAAAGAAAACACAAAGAGTCCCCCTTCCACCACCCTCAAATCACTCATTGCTTTCTCCCCGTCCCCTTTGCCTCTGCTCATGGGGGACACAACTTCCCCTTTCTCTTTCTCTTTCTCTTTCTCTTTCATCCCTATATAGCTACCCTTCTTCATATAGTTTTCAAAACCTTCATCCCAATCATCATTTTCATGCACTTTCATTGCACCACCCACTGGTTTTTCCCGGCCAAGTTATAGCCCCAAAACGAGACCATTAAGAAAGAGTGCCTGCTCATTCAACTGCAGTAAAAGGGGTTGCAGGAAAGTAATCACAAGAAGAGAGCAAATAAAAATAAATTTTAAAGGTTTGACTGAAGAAACCGAGGCCACTCTCGTCTAGTACTACCAGTAAATATTACTACTCCCCCCTGAATATCTTTTATTTTATTAAACTCCCTAGACAAAAAGAATAAGAATAATATGTTAATTCCATAGTCAGAGTCTCCTTTTTCACCTATATTTTATTATATTTCTGATATTCGATACGCCTAAGTCATATTAGATCTCGATTATAACCAAAGCTGGATTTTTTTCTTATAATAAAGTTTACACCTTTACAGCAAAATGAAGCAGCCGGTGACAATATAGTATTTTTCTATGAAATTCAAGCAAGATCTGTTCCCCAAAAGCTTTTCCATCGAAATTTGCGTAGTAAAAGGTCTTCTTCTCGAGATCCAATCAACCCCACTAACCTACTGGTAAATATCAGCCACCCTAAATTTCCCTTTCTTCTTCCTCTCTTCCCATAAGCCTACAGTTTTACAGTCTAATGAACTCCGGGGTTTTTTTTTTGCCAAGAAACGTATCATCTTCAGATTTGATTACTTTTTTTAAAATATAAGAAAATTTTGTTTCCGGTTTTAAGTGTTTTTTGTACATGCAAAGTTTGTACAAATCTGTCGTGTTTCCATTTCTTGTTATATGGTACTGGAAAATTGTTTGGTGTTTCCTTTTTTTTATTTGATTCTTCGTTTTTGATGTGGAAAGTAGAATTTTTTGGTTGGTTTTTTATGTTTGGTATGTGATATGGTGTTGCAGAGAAGAAGGTGGAACATGGCATCGTCGTCTTCGAATTCTCCTTGCGCGGCCTGTAAGTTTTTGCGGCGGAAATGTCAGCCGGAGTGTGTTTTCGCGCCTTACTTCCCGCCGGATCAGCCGCAGAAGTTCGTTAACGTCCACAAGGTGTTCGGCGCCAGCAACATCACGAAGCTTCTCAACGAATTGCACCCGTCGCAGCGCGAGGACGCTGTGAATTCGCTGGCGTACGAGGCCGATATGCGGCTCCGTGACCCCGTCTACGGCTGTGTTGGTGTCATATCGCTCCTCCAGCACCAGCTCCGCCAGCTCCAGACGGATCTCAGCTGCGCCAAGTCCGAGCTGTCCAAGTACCAGAGCCTGGGCATCACCGGACACGCCGGGCTCATAGCGGCTTCCGCCACGGCAACAACACCTCAGAATTTGGGGATCAATCTGATCGGAAGCGACGGAGGAGGCGGAGCACGGGAACATCATTACTACCACCATCAGTTCTTCCCTAGGGATCAGCAGCAGCAGCAGCAACAAGAGATGATAATGAGCTTTGATGCTGGCAGTAACTATGATTCAAACCTACTCGCTATGAATGTCTCGTCAGGGATCGGTCAACTCAGTCAGTTCCAACCACCTAGAGCGGCTGCCGGAGATGACCGCCGTTCCATTCATCCCTCCTAGGGTTAGGGTTTCTTTTAACCCTAAAATCATCTTAGCCACCCAAAGGTACACTTCTTCCTTCCATGTTATCATCATTATTATCCTAAAATTTATTTTTTATTTCTTTTCATTCTTGAAAACCATGACTATTGAGGTGACTCAGTGTCACAATCAGAAAAACTAGGGTTTATTGGTGCTGAATAAAATGTTAGATTTAGGGTTTAAATTGAACAATTTTCTCATATAATCATTTCTTTCCTACAAAATCACATGTAATCTTAAATTTTCAGAAATATCATTTTATTCATTTTTTTAATTAATCACTGGTACTCGATCTATTAACCGACTAATCTAAATTGGGTACCACAGAGGTGAAAGCGACTCTTCTAACCTAGTTTGATCTATTTGCAAACACCATGATTTAAACCTCTCTCCTTGCTTAAGGGACCTAGTGCTTCATCCCACTAGACCAACTAATTGTTTGTTATTCGTTAATATTTTTTTAAACAATATTTTTAAAATATATATATATGAATTACTTTCTTTAGAAAATTTGAATAAAACATCCTCTTTATTATACATATTTATTTCCATAATAAATTACTAAATTAGGAGCTTTATAAGCATAAGGCTTGCATTCTAATTTACATTTCTTTATTGATTAATAAATTTATTTATTTTAATATTTACCAACATGCAAGCCCTATATTTCTATTTAGTATATATATTATTTTACAAATAATTCCGTGTGTATATGTTAAGGGTTCTCATTTGATACACAATGTAATACGAAACGATTAATAATCTATATTTATTTTAATAAAAATATGTATTAAAATTGAAAGACAACAAATTAAGTTGTTATTCTTAATCAAGAAATAATAATTTAATTAACTTAACAACTTTGTTAACTAGGCACTCTTTAAGTTGCTATATAAAATAATATTTTTTTCTTATTGATATATATATATATATATATATATATATATATATATATTAAATAAACCTTGAACAGTCTTTAAAGCGTTAGGGGAACCCTAAAACATTCCTGACCAGGTCACTGTGAAACCCTAGTTTTTAAACTTTTACCATAAAAAGGTTGACTGAAAATGGTGATTTGTTTGCCAAATTTTATAAATTTTTTAATTAGAATGAAGCGTAGGGTATTGGTGTGGTCGTACCATTACCTTAGAAAAATTAAAAATAAATGATCATAAAGGGATAGTGAGGCACAGTTCCCCATTGTTGTTGACCAAAACAGCCTACTAACATGTATATAATTGCACAGTGATGACTCTGATCATGCATGCATTATTATTAATTTTCGTGTTCATGATCATGTTCGTATATAGATTTTGATATATTCATACCGTGTTTGTATCTAGTCTTCGTATGATTTTAGGGTTTTTTTTATATATATTATGTCCGTGACTAATCGAGATCGAATCTAAGATCGAGAAACCCGTTAGTATACCATGGACTTGATGGTGATGTTCTTGGGAAGATTGAGCATATTGCTTGTAATGCAGGTAATGGTGGGAGATTTCAACCAAAGATTCAGCGTTGAGAGACTGCCGTTTTTATTTTAATTATTAAATAATAATTAAAATAGGGTTTCTTCTCTGTTTCTGTTTTGCTTTTGGTAGACATAATATAAACTACTTTTTTTAATTTAATATTTAAGGTGATGATCATAATGTGGTATATCTGAGCTTAAACAAATGTACTAAACTCTTCCCAGACTTACAGTAACAGCATTAGTTCGTGAGGCTTTCGCCTCTTAAAATGTGCCCATGCCAATGCCCACCCATGCTTTCGTTTTTGTTTCTTTTCTTTTGATTGTTTCTCCTCGAACAGTTCGTCCTACAGTTCTTCTTTTCTCCTCACATTTGGTGTGTGTGTATATACATATAGAGAGAGAGAGAAAGAGAGAGAGGGGATAAGATTGGATCCGATTACATAATTTAAAACTTTTTAATTTTACATAGATTTAGAGTTGTTTGATGCGTAAAAATAGACGATTAAGATTAACAATAATAATAAAAAAAATTCACTAAAAAGAATTCGGAGTTAATCTTAATCGTTTTTTTTCAGTCATCTAAATGTACTGGATCTTTGTAAAACTAATATTTTTTACATTATATAAGTGGATTCTAATTATATATGTGTGTGTACGTACGTATGTATGTATGAACGAAGAATCACTTATATTAGTGTAAGATTATATTAGTTTTAAATGATGCGACTTGATAACACAGGTTGAGGGATCTATTTAAAAGTTTTAAAACTTTTAGAGACTTAAATTAAAATTTTAATTTTTTTTAAAATCGTTTCATTTATTTTTTTTTTTAAATTGGATTTAAAAAATTCAAAATTTATTTAAAAAATATTCAAAAAAATTAATACATGATAAGAGTTTTTATAATTTCTGAAGAGATCAAATTAAAATTTTTAAAAACTTGACGTTTCTGATCTATCTAAATAGAACATGAGATACGATAATCGTGTTATAAATATAAAAAATCAAATATTTTATTAAAATCTTTATTTTTTTATGAATTATCTTAAAAAATTAAATTTAACATATATCATGTGTCGCATATCACTAGGGCTGTAAATGAGACGAGACAGATCGCGAGCTACTCGAGATCGACTCGATCAAGGCTCGATAAATACTCGGATCGAATGGACTCGACTCGAGTTCGACAAGAGTTCTTAACGAGCCGAATTGAGCTACTTGATATTCGACTCGAAAAGCTCGTGAGGAGCTCGAAAAATATAATATATTAAGATTTTATTTTTTAAAAAATAAAATCTTAATAAGGCCAACCCTTTATGTATTGATTTTTTTAAAATACAGTAAAATTTTCATGTATTTAAGGTTCATATTCGAGTTTGAGTTTGAGACTTCAATCGAGTTAAGTTTAAGAATTTTTTTTTCTTCATTTCGAGCCTTTTCGAGCTGCTCACGATCTTCAGTTCAGGATTTCGAGTTCGAGTTGAGCTTGAAAAAATTTAAGTTCACGAGTTTTCGAGTCGAGCCGAGCTCCATTTCAAAGTTTTCGAGTCGAGTCGACCTCAACAATACTCAAACTCGAATCGGCTCGTTTAGACCCCTACCTATCACATTACTAAAGTATCACATTGATTTGTTAGTAAATATATAAAATTGAACTGTTATTATAATGATAACAATTAAACATTAAGTGGATATCTTATATTCAAATAGAGTTATATTAAGTTCATATTCGAATTAATCAGATACAATTAACGGATTTAGTTAATGGTCGAAACTATAGAAGGGGTGGGAGGGTCTGTATCTCTCTCGACTTTTTTGTCTAATGACTGTTTCGGTCCCTGTAAATTTAAAAATTATGTAAATTGAACCTTGTTGAAGTTGAAAAGAAAGAGGAGAGAGGAGAGGGGGGAGATGTGAGCATTGAATGGGGGAGAAAGGTTAGGTATAGAGAAGAGAAGACAAGTGAATAAGACACAGAGGACAAAAGGGAGGGTTGGTGGGGGAATTTAAGCAGCGGAGGAAATGTCATAAAAAATTCACAAAAAGGAAAGCATTTAAGACTCACTTGCGTTTCCCATCTCTAAGCCCAAAGCAATATTTTCATTCATTGATATTGGAAAAAAAAAACTGCCTTTGCATTGCATGCATGGTAATCATTACGTACCTTTGCAATGATGGCTTCTCCATTCAATGCTTTGCCCACTCACTCTTTATTATTAGGGTCAAGTACACAAATCGTCCCTCCCCTTTTTAAGTTTTTCGATTATTAAAAGTTATTAAATAACCATCCGATTATTAAAAGTTATAAAATGGTCACCTGACTATTCATATGTTCTAAATTCATCATTTTTTGTTAAAAAAATTGACGGTGGACATTGACTTGTTCATCAAGATATGATGAAATCTGACCCAGAACCGTATGAGTTGTATAGTTGTTTGAGATTCTAATATCAAATTTTATCATATCACAGTCTGTAGGTTATGTCCAACTCAGACTACCATCAATTTTTTAACGGAAAAAGATGAGCTTGGGACATATTAATAGTCAAAAGATTCAACAAAGCAACACATCATAATCAATGGACCATTTTATAATTTTTAAAAGCTAGATGACTCAACAAAATAACACCCCTATTAATGTACTTTACCCTTATTATTAACCCCTTCTCTCTCTCTCCATGTTTCAAACTATTGCTTTCTGCTTAGCATAGAATTTCATTTCTTTTGGTCACTTGTTTAGTTAGTGAACCATCCATCTATAATTGACCAAAATCATGTGTCAACCTACCAAATAAAAACCTAATTAAAATATTGTAACATAAACAATACATCTCATTCACTATATATATATAATCATTCAACGTATAAATCAAATAAAATATAAATTAAAATAATTATAGACACGGTTCATCCGCGACGAAATTTAAACTATAATAAATTTAAACAAAATTTACACATAATATGCTTGTGATAGAACTTCAACCTAAATTCTTATGATCCCATAAAATATGGGATTAGGTGAATGTTTTGATGATGAAAGAATGGGTTTATAAGACCATTCTTGTTATGATTAACAAAGGATGATTGGCCCTAACTTAAGAGTTGTGTAACATTAGGCCCAATGACTCCAATAGTTAGTTGGCATGGCCCATTTGTCCAACTTGAAACAAATGAGTTCGGGCCCACTTAAACTCGATTTAGTCCCCGGTTTATAAATTTGAAAGGATTACAAATAGCACTAACCGAGCGATTTTAATAACTAAAGAGATGATTATTGTCCGTAGAGATATAGGATTGAAACATGTCCGTTACGGATGTTTAAACGTTCATTGTCACGTTATTTAACTACTACAATCGTAAATCATAATTGAATGTGGTGACACTATGTCACATGATATAACGTTGCTCTTCGCTAAAATAATTAGCCGTTAAGAGTGTGTAAAAAGAAGGTACATCCTCACAATGGTCATTAATATAATTTTTAAGCAAAATTATCCGTTAGATCGCCATCCTTATATCTTTAACTCTTCAGTTCACTGAGAAAATTCAATCCGACCCATATCTCAAATCTCTGCAAATTCATCGAAATTTCATCGAATCTCAGCTTCTTTCTGCAAATCCATCGAAATTCCATCAATGGGCATGCACTTAAACACTATCCCTCAATCCACAATCACCCAATCCCACTACCACACCCACAATATCTTCCTCTTCTGCAACTGCATCCTCCTCGGCTCCGCCTCCAGCTGCATCTTCCTCACGCTTTCCCTCCGTCTCTTCCCATCCATCGCCGGCCTATTTTGATCCTCCTCCACGTGTGACCATCGCCGGCGCCGTCTCCGGCTGCGTTGCGGCTTCTTTAGGCACCAACAGATGATACGTGGCTCACCTGGTGGCCACGGTGTTGACAGCCATATTCCAGGGCTCGGTCTCGGTGTTGATATTGACGAGGACGGGTGAGTTCTTGGGTATTTGAAGTCTTACGTTAGGGAAGAAGATGGTGCGGTGATATTGAAGCTGGCCGGCGGGCTTTGTGCGGTGATGTTTTGCCTTGAGTGGGTGGTGATGACACTTGCTTTCTTCTTGAAAAATTATGCTTATGTGGAAGGTGATGAGAATGGGAATTGTAATTGTAAAGTGCAACGTGTTTAAGAGGATTTGAAGGATTGGCCATGGCCTTTCCAAGTTTAAATTTTTTATGATTCTTTGTATATGTATGTATCTATATAGCTATATATATATAGATATGGATTGGGATTTGGCTATGCAGCTTAATTTTGTGTTTTTGGTTCATTTATTATTTGATCGATTCATTTTGAGATGCTAATGGTATTTTGATTTAGTTTTGTGTATTGACAAAATTGAGAGCAAGTCAGGTATTTTATAGACGAAGAGGAACACATCCAATCAGTAATTAAAGGGAGAATCATCATTGAACAATACAATGGTGACAACGGACGTATAAATTTTAACCTGGATCACTTAATGAATGAAAGGATGAAAGACTTTTAAGATAGTTTAAATACAACTTTCGTGGGCAGTTTTGTTGTATGGTAATCTAATATAAGGTTAAAAAAAGGCGTAACCGTAAATATTAACATTTTTTTTATATTTCCGGTAGAACGCTACCTAAAATGTTAATTTCATTACCTAATATGTTAATCTTTTAAGAAAAAGCTTCTTGACCTAAAATGTTAATTTCGTTACCTAAAATGTTACTTTCTCCGTAACATTTCTGGTTGCAACCGGAAACGTTAAAAAGATTAACATTTTAGTTAGCGCTCCACCGGAAATGTTAAAACAAAATTAACATTTCCGGTTACGCATTTTCTTAGCCTTATATTATACTGTCTTTCCTTAAATATTCCGTTTTGTACATGTACTCATCGAATGATTGAGATTAAAATTTAACCAACTTGCTCTAAGTTGAAAGATATATTTCAAGGGTCTACTCTCTAGAATGTGATCGTGGTTAGTGGGAGCAGTTGGGTTTGGAGAAGGATGCTGAAGTTGAGATCAACTGTGTTATCCTTGAATCTCTTTGATTCTAGTCCGACAGTTGCGGAGGTTTGAGAAGATGTGAGGCATAAGAAGAATAAGGTTGACTGACATAGCTTGGGGTGGCATAGATTCCATATTCCT